GAGTGAGTGAGACAGTGATTGAGTGAGAGTGAATCAGTGAGTGAGTGAGAGAGTGAGGCAGTGAGTGAGAGTGAGACAGAGAGTGAGGCAGTGAGATAGTGAGTGAGTGAGAGAGGCAGTCGCTCCACGGGGTTTTCAACAACTGGTTTTAACATGGGGATCACCAGGCCTCTCTATGCCAGGGTGCCTCTGGGTGAACTCAAACACTCAACCTCTTGGTTAGCAGCCAAGCACATTAGCCACTTTAAACAGTGGTGTTTCCCAAAGCTCCATCCGTCCTGACTCTTTCCTCATTTAACATTATCTCCTCGGTGATCTAGTCCACTCGCAAGGTATAAATTACCAACTAGTTGCTGACCAACGTGAAATACATAAACCCCAACCCAGACCTCTTGACCATCTGTCCCAGCCCATATCCAGGGTCTTCACTTGGATGGACACAGACACCTCGCACTAAATGTCTGGGAGACTCAACTCTGACTCTCCACATTTGACAATGTATTGCTATTCTCAGTCTTCACAAATGATATCATCACCTGTCCAATTGCTCATAAAGTAAACAGGCAAAAAACGTCCGCTTGCCCCAAAATACAACGGATTCCAAATACTGTAGATTCTGTGTCCCAAGTATCTGTGCAATCTGCCCACTTCCATCCTCTGGATATCGCACCATGGCCACCATGAGCTACCATGTGGCCTAATGCAGTGGTGTCCAGCCAGCAGAGCTATCTGCCTTTCTCCCTCATTCTCCTTTTGCAGCCTGGCCTCACTACCTATACTCACGATGACCCAGTGTAAAACAGAGTGAAATGCTGCTCCTTCCTGAAGCACCTTCAAAATCGCCAACGTGTTTGAGTCCATCTTTGCGACTATGCCAATCCATCTCAATGAGGGTCCCCGCCTCTTGGGATGTCTTTCCCAGATATTGGACTCTTGATGCTGTGTCCAAAGCAAGAGCAATTTAGACAACGTGTGGCTGCCAGAGCCAACTTTTTATCTTATTCATTGGGAGTCCTAGAGGCAGAGTGGTTATGCATTGGGCTGGTAACTAAAAGGTCAGCAGCTCAAAACCACCAACCGCTCCTTGAGAGAAAGACAGGGCTTTCTACTCCCGTGAAGAGTTACAGTCTCAGAGACCCACAGAGGCAGTTCTGCCCAGTCCTTTAGGGTCACTGTGAGTCAGCTTGGACTCAATGGCAGTGAGTTTGAATCTTACTGGCATATAACTCACATACCATACACTCTAATGGTATAAATATATTAAAAAGAGATGTGCAGCAATCACCACAATCAATTTAGAACACTTCTTCAGTCTTGTACTCATTATTATTAGCTCCCCGTGTCCCCCAATGTCCCCTTGCATAACTCTAAGAAACTATTGATCTAGTTACGGTCTCTCTATATTTACCTAGTCTATGTTTCACATAAAGAAAATCGTACCAAAAAACAGTTAACAAACAGAAAACTCAATCCAGAAAAAACTAGGAAATAATAAAAACTACAACACTCATAAAATGGGCCAAAAGAGAGAGCAAAGTTGTTCAATTTAACCCTAACTGCATCTGTATTAATTCACTTTCCAATACATTCTGTCTGACAGCACAGCTATTCACACCCTTGGTCAATGGTGGGAGGGGGTCCTCCAGACATTTAATCCATGTGGAGACTCTGCAACTACATGTTGGGCTTTCACTGTCATCCATAGCTTCTGCGAACAGGGTGCTCAGAATTTAAGCTCTAGTACAATTCCCTCCTCTGGTCTCGGATTTTATTATTTACAATCATTGAATCACACAGGCTGATGTGCTTCTTTTGTCTGAAATTACCTGGCAACTCCCTGAGAGAGCTGCTTGTTTCAGGAAAAGCCTCAAAAACTGCAGATACTATTCTTTCTGGTAGTCAATAGAGCCACCTTTAAAATTGCAAATCCTCCTTCTCTCCTATCTGAAACTTCTCAGAGGCTTCCTGCTGCTCTCTAGTAAACTCCCCAAATCCTAGCATGACTGAGTAGGCACACAGGATGTGAGCCTTAGTCATTGCCTGCCTCTTCCTTCCCTTCAGTCTTCCCGCTCCTGCCATCCTGGCCTGTTCTTACCCCCTAGTTCTTCAAAGCCTAAGGAGATCCTTCCTCAGGGGCTCCACAGATGCCGTTTCCTCGGTTTATGATGTTCCCTCCTTCACCTGGATAACTCCTACCATCCTTCAGGTCTCAAACTAATGGTCTTTTGTAGGAAAACCCTAATTCATAATCTACATGGTTATTAGATCATATCGTCTACCCTTTTAGACTCTCGTGAAATCACGAGGTGCATTCCTAACCTAGAACCTTCCAAGGTTGCTCTGCAAATGCAGTATACATAATGTATATGAACAATCGTATTATTTAAGTGCTTCATTCCACTTCTCCTGATTGCTTAAAATTTTATTGCAGCAGTCAGATGGGATTTCCAGTCAGAGAAGAGTGTGTGCCCAGTGAAATGTCCCTTCGAAAAGAGTAAATTAACCAGCATTTGGTGCTGCTGAATGCCTTATTTATCCTGAGTTCTTGGGTTCTATTGTAGATATAACCTAATTCTTAAGGTCCTACGGTGAATAAATGTGATGTGCTATTCATATAAGCCATTGTGGGAGCTATCACTGCTTATTAATAAAATGCTTCAGTGAATAGCTGGGGGGAAATCCTCAAATTCTCTCTCAGTGTATCCCACATTTTTAGTATTACTGTGGGCAGCTGCTGTGTGGGGCTTGAAGATCTCAAAGCTGATGCCAATGGCTCCCTCGGAGGCAAGTCTTTCTTGTTCATTTCCTATTGTGATTTGGGTGCCAGTTAACAAAACAAATGTCGCTTCCTCTGAGAGCTTGTACGCTGCGCTGTGGCACGGTGTTGTCCACAGTGTGGCAGCACTCGCCCCATTTCCTCCCTGGGAGACCCCTGGTTTCACCCACATTCCCGCCCCCTTCTGTTCCGGGGCAACTCTCGTCCTCTGGTCC